GCACACTCACGCGCCTGCGAATGAATCTCTGGACATACACCAAAAGAAAAAAGCAAGCTGCATAAGAATCATGATAATTTACCACTTACAAGTGCAAATACCATGAAAAAGTGTCATATATTGTTTAGAAATACACCTAATAAAAGGATAAAAATGCCTAAGACCTATCTCATACCCTATATAAAAATTAACTCAAAATGAATCAAAGACTTAAATATAAGAGCCAAGACTATAAAACTCTTAGAAGAAAACATAAGTGTAAATCTTTGTGATCTTTGAATTAGGCAATGGTTTCTTAGATATGACATTCAAAGCACAAGCAAAGAAAAAAATAGATAAATGGGACTTCATCAAAATTTTAAAATACGTGCTTCAAAAGACACTGTCGAAAAACTGAAAAGACAACCCACAGAATGGGAGAAATTAATGGCAAATCACATATAAGGAAGGGTGTACTATCCTCAATAGATAAAGAACTCCTACAACCCAACAATAAAAAGACAAATAACTTATAAATAGGCAAAACATTTAAACAGACTCTTTTCCAAAGAAGATAGACATACTGCCAATAAGCACATGAATAAATATGCAACATTATTAGTCATTAGGAAAATGCAAATCAAAACCACAGTGACCACCTAGGATGGCCATAATCAGACAAGTACAGTCGGCCCTCCACATCCATGGGTTCCGCATCTGTGATTCAACCAACTGCAGCTTGAAAATATGTGGAAAATATGTTTCATCTGTACTGAACATGTACAGACTTTTTTCCTTGTTATTTCCTAAACAACACAGCGTAACAATTTACATTGTATCAGGTATTACCAGTGGCCTAGAGATGACTTTTCTTTTTTTTTTTTTTTGAGATGGAGTCTCACTCTGTCGCCCAGGCTGGAGTGCAGTGACAGAATCTCAATTCACTGTAACCTCTGCCTCGGGGGTTCAAGCAATTCTCCTGCCTCAGCCTCCCTGGATAGCTGGGACTGTAGGCATGCGCCACCATACCCGGATAATTTTTGTAGTGTTAGTAAAGACAGGGTTTTGCCATGTTGGCCAGGCTGGTCCCAAACTCCTGACCTCAGGCCTCCTAAAGTTCTGGGATTACAGGCGTGAGCCACTGTGCCTGACCTAGATGACTTAAAGTACACGGAAAGGACAGTGTGGTGGCTCTCACTTGTAGTCTCAGCTAGTTGGGAAGCTGAGACAGGAGGATCCCTGGAACCCAAGAGTTTCAGGCTGCAGTGAGCTATGATCGCACCACTGCACTCCAGCCTGATGGAGACCTTGTCTCAAAATAAGTAAATAAAATTTAAATTTAAAATAAAACAAAATTAAAGAGTAGACAGGAGGATGTACATAGGTTATAGGAAATACTACACCATTTTATATAAGGGACTTCAGTATCCTCGGATGTTGGTATCCATGGGAGGTCCTGGACCAATTCCCCACAGAGGGATGACTATTGATGACGATGTAAAAATTGGAACTCTCATACAATTGCTGCCACTTTGGAAAACAGCAGTTCCTCAAAAAGATAAACATATTTATCATATGACCCAGCAATTCCACTGCTGGGTATCTACCCACAAAAACAGAAAACATCTACACAAAAACCTGTATCTGAATGTTCAAAGCAGCATTATTATGATTATTGAGACAGGTCTCGCTCTGTCACTCAGGCAAAAGTGCAGTGGCACGACCATAGCTTCCTGCGGCCTTGACCTACAAGGCTCAAGTGATCTTCGCACTTCAGCCTCCCTAGTAGCTTGGACCACAGATGCACACCACCATGCCCAGCTAATATTTTGTAGATATGTGCTCTCCCTATGTTGCCCAGGCTGGTCTTGGATTCCTTGGCTCAAGTGATCCTCCCACCTCGACCTCCCAAAGTGTTGAGATTACAGGCACGAGCCACCACTCCTGGCCACAGCAGCATTATTCTTAATGGCAAGAAGTGCAAACAACCCAAATGTCTATCAACTGATGAGTGGATGAACAGAGTGTAATGTATCCCTACAATGGAAGACTATTTAGCTATACAAAGGAATGAAGTTCTGATCCATGCTACAACATGGATGAATCTTGCAAACATTATGCTAAGCCAAAGAAGTGAGTCACAAAAGGCCATAGATTGCAGGATTCCATTTACATGGAATGTCCAGAATAGGCAAAACCATAGAGAAAGAAGGTAAATTACTGGTTGCCAGGGGCTGGGGAGAAGGAGAATTGGGGAGTAACTACTAATAGGGATGAGATTTCTTTCTGAGGTGATGAAAATGTTCTGGAATCAGACACTGGTAATGGCTGTATAATCCTGTGACTATGCCAAGAACCACTGAATTGTACACCTTACAGGGGGAACTTTATGGTGCATGAATTATATCTTAATAAATATTGTATAGGAATAATAAACACCAAATTCAGGAGAGTCTTTACCTCTTGGGTTGGGGGTATCAGTCATGGAGGGAAACAAAAAGGTCTTTATATTAGCAGTGTTTTATTTTGCAAGCTGGATGCTAGATACACAGTTATTTGTTCTATTAATTTTTATACCTTTCTCATTGTTTTCATAATAAATAAAATGTAAAAGTCTTTACTGGGCATCAACCTGGATCAGGCACTGGGCTACCTGGGTGGTGCAATGGTGAGTCAAAACAGACCCATTCTGCCTAAAAGTGGATACATAAATACCTAGCAAGTAGAGAAGAAGGTCTACAAGTAAGTTTTCTCCCCTTTCTAGGCTTCTGTGTCCTCACGGATGAAATGAGAGCTGGACTAGGAACCTGTTAGTAGAAGGTCTCTGAGGATCCTGGGGGCCTCGAAGTGTGTTTCCCCTTTTTCAGCCCACACACCTCTAAGAGTCATCAAGCACGACCAGGGCACAGACCTAAGAGTTGGCCCTGGTGCCATCAATCATCACAAGTAGGCCTAAGGCAAAGCCCAACTTCAATTATTCTGTTTCTTCTCAGTAAAATGAGGAGAATAGCTTCTCCCTTCCAGGATGACTGTGGGGGTATAAATGAGATAACACATATAAAGTGTCAGGGACAGGCCTAGCACACAGTAAATCCTCAACACCTGGGACAGTCCTCACTTTGATTCCACAGGCATTTCCTGAGCAGCAATGCTGGGCCAGGCCTGTGCTAGGGGCTGGAAGACAGAGGAATTTCCCACTCTGAATGACCAAAGCAGTGGCCCCCAGCCAGGTGGGGAGACGGTTTCATAAACAACAGTACCAGGTGGGGTGATATCACCACTAAGAAGAGACAGGAGCCGTGTACAGACACAGACCACGTACGATCCAGACCCTGGGGCTGACAGAGATGTCCCAATCAAAAGGCACAGTCCAGACTTGGAGAGATGCCCTCGCAGGAAGAAAGGTAAGGCACAAAGTTAGGGGACTGGCCTTCATTCACGGTGAAGTAAATCCCTCTATACCTTTTATTGCCTAATTCAGACTCAAATGCTCCCACAAACCGCAAGAACAGAGAATGCAATTGATTCAACAGTTAGCTTTGGGAAGTCTGAGCCCACGGCACATCGCATGGTACATGTGTGGGAACACCGTGGCTGATAGTGCTGCTGTGATCTTCGGCAAGTCAGGATACCTCTTCAAGCCTTCACTTCCCCGGCTATAAAATGGAGGCTATAAAGACACTGACTTCATAGAGAGGTAAGGGAAAGTGAGACAATGACTGTAAAGTCATTAACCAAGTACCTGGCGCTTGGCGACCAGATCAATAAATGGTAGTTATTGTTAGGAAAAAATAGATTTCACTTTGAAAGTGAGGAGAGTGGGATTCAGAGCGGTAAGATGACTTCCCCACAGTCAGGATTCGAACTGTTAGAGACACTAAAGGCTCAGGGCAAATCATCTCCCTCTGCTCCAGAATCTTCAGCAGATTCTCAATCATCCACTACATGGACTCCAACCTTACCAGGCAGTGAGAATTCAGCAAAGGTCTGGGGCCAGAAAGACCCTGGGCATGTTCCCCAATCCTAGGTTTCTTGATCTGAGATTCCCCAAGTGAGCCTGAGAAGGTCTGTGAATTCCTCCACAAAGTTTGTGCAAAAGTTTGTGCCTAATGGAGATTCTCAGACAAGTCTGTAGCCTGAAACGTAACAAACCACATTGGCTTAGTATGGTTTCTTACCCCATGGAGATACGATTTCTACCTTGGAAGTCTGCAAGGGGATTAAATGAGGTAATTTGTGAGAAGTACTTGAAACATCCTCAGCTTTCACAAATGTTGGTTTCCTTCTCTTTCTCTCTCCCCAACCCATTTCCATCAGTTAGCAAATAGTACTGAGCATCTGCCATGCAGCAGGCACTAGTCCAGGTACTGGGGGTGAAGTGGTGAACAAATATGGTCCCTGTTTTCATGGGGCTCACATTCTAGCAGAGGGAAACAGCAGACAAGTAAAAGCAACAATTTCAGATATGAATAACTGCTATGAAGAAAATACAAGGCCAGGTGCGGTGGCTCACACCTGTAATCCCAGCACTTTGGGAGGCCGAGGCAGGCAGATCACAAGATCAGGAGTTTGAGACAGCCTGACCAACATGGTGAAACCTCGTCTCTACTGAAAATAGAAAAATTAGCCAGGTGTGGTGGTGTGCACCTGTAATCCCAACTACTCAGGAGGCTGAGGCAGGAGAATCATGCCACTGCACTCCAGCCTGGCTGACAGAGCAAGACTCCATCCCCCTCCCCACTCAGAAAAAGAATATACAAAGGATAATGTGATACAGACTTAGGGGGTGGGGCAGCCTCCAGGGATGAAACATGTGAATGACCAAAGGAACCAGTCATGCCAGGATGTTGGAGGAGAGCATCCAGGCAGAAGGAGCAGAAAGGGCAAAACCTCCCTGGAAAGTTCCTTGGTCAAGAGCCCTTCATTCTCAGTCCCACCACAAACTGGGTCACCTTGAACAAGTCACACAACTTCTGAGGCTCAGCTGCCACATCTATAAAATGGGAATAAAGACATCTTACCTGCCACAGTGTGAGGGGATTCGACCAAAGGGCTGTTAAGGTCTGGGGTCCTTCCCAAATCTCACCATAGACACCTGATATTCGTCATTTGGCACCCATCTTGGAAGAGGGGAACCTGCACAGAGAACCCTAGGTCATGTATTTGACTTTTAATTTCATGCTGCACTAGAAATAGCTTCTTTTGTTCCTGGTTGACCCAGTAGCCTCTTCCTGCCACCTGGGGCCTATTATAGTTAACAGCTGCTTCATATCCCCTCAGGTACAAAAGCCAACAAGGATAGGACATCAGGAAACACTGTTCTGGGAATAACCAGACACCTATCTGCCACCATCTTCCCCAACCCTGTGACCACACAGGGAAGACTGGAGGACTCAGCCCTCCTGTAGTCAGATAATGTATATGCTTTATTTAAAGATTCGAAAGGGGCCACCTGCAGTGGCTCATGCCGGTAATCCCAAGCACTTTGGGTGGCTGAGGCAGGTGATTCACCTGAGCTCAGGAGTTCAAGACCAGGCTGGCCAACATGGTGAACCCCTGTCTCTACTAAAAATACAAAAATTAGCTGGGTGTGATGGTGGGCACCTGCAATCCCAGCTACTTGAGAGGCTGAGACAGGAGAATTGCTTGAACCTGGGAGGTGGAGGTTGCAGTGAGCCAAGATCATGCCATTGCACTCCAGCCTGAACAACAAGAGTGAAAACTCCATCTAAAAAAAAAAAAGAGTCAAAAGGATCTTGGTCCCGAGGTTGGGTTGGGATGCGTTGAGCCACTCACTTGAGATCAGCAGGAGTTCTCACTCCTAAATTTCTTTAATCTGTTCCCTTCACTCCATCTCCACAGCCATTGCACTGGCTAAGACCTCATCATCTCACATCTTAACTCTCTCTCTCTGCTTTCTCTGGCCTGTCTTCCCACTTCCAAACCATTTGCCACGCTGTAACCAATGCCTAACACACAAAACTGACCATGTCTTTCCCCTGCTTACAGCCCTTAGACAGCTCCTGCCGCTCGTGGAACTGGTATCCAAGGCTACCTCTCCAAGCCTAAGCCTTAAATCCTGTTGCAACCCTCAGACCCTTCCTCATTATCCACACCAAACTCCTCAGAGTCTGTAAAACAAGCCAAGCAACCCTCAGAATTATATGCCTGTTTTTGCTGTGTTTTTGAAACAAAGTCTCACTCTGTCACCCAGGCTGGAGTGCAGCAGTGCGATCTCAGCTCACTATAGCCTCCGGGGCTCAAGGATTCTCCCGCCACAGCCTCCTGAGTATCTGGGATTACAGGCACGGCCCAATGCACCAGGCTAATGTTTGTATTTTTAGTAGAGACGGGTTTTCACCATATTTCAGTCTGGTCTCCAACACCTGAGCTCAAGTGATCTACCTGCCTCGGCCTCCCAAAGGGCTGGGATTATAGGCCTGAGACACTGCGCCCAGATGGCCTTTGCTGCTTTTGTTCCTACAGTTTGGAACACTGCCCCCATCCCAGCCTCTCACCTCTACCCCTACCTCCCTCACTACCTATACCTTCCCATGCATCCTTCAAGACCCCAAAAGCCATCCCTGATTCCTCCAGAAAAGCACTTATTGCCTACCTTCTTATCATTGAAAAATTGAAAGCAGTGGCTGCGTCTTACTCATGGTTAATTCCCTACAACCTAGGCTGATAAATTTCATTTAACTAAAATTCGTATCAGGTGTTTCGGACTGCAGACAAGCTTATCACAACCCGGAAGGAAGAAACAGGGAAAGGCAATGGGGGCTGCTAAGCAGTGAGGTTGGGGTACGAATCATGAATCTGCATATTTTTAAAAACTGCCCCAGATCCTGATGTAAGAGGTACTGGAGTTTTTGAGGAACACAGGGTTACCTCCAAGAGTCCTAATTTCTGGGACCTGGCTGGGCTGGGAAACAAGAATGGGTTCTAATACAGGTTCAGCCCCTGATGTGCTACGGGCCCCTGCCCCTCCCTGGGGCCTCCATTACCACGGCCACTCCCACTCCTATCAACTGTGTGTCCCTGAGGTAGTGACTGTCCCACTCCGAGCATCAGTTTCCCCATCTCCCACAGGACGTCGCCGGCTCTGACGCTCTATGAGCTATGCATACCCGTAGCTCCCCGCCGACCCCGATGGTCCCCTCCCCTCCTTCCCAAGTTCCGTCCGTCAAGGTGCAGCCGACGCACTCCTAATGCCAAGGCAGCCCTCTCATCGACTGCCCCTCTCTGGCCGCGTCTCGGTGCCGCAGGTACAGATCTCTGTCCCCGCCCTGCTCTTTAAGCCCAGCTGGGGCGGTGCGCGCAAGCGCACTTGGTCGCATCGCTAGCCCCGCCCCCTGAGCCTGGGTAGCGGCGCGAGGGCCGAGAGGACGGTGCGCTGCGAGGCGGCGAACGAGTAGGTTTGGGCGGCAACGGCGGCCGGCACGGGTCACGTTTCCTTGGGAGGAACGATGTGAGGGAGGGGTCTGGCGAGCTATTGGAACTCCGGAGGCCGGGAGATCTTGTGGCCGAAACCCTTCGCACGCGCGGAGAAACTGGTGTCCCGTGAGGGGGTTGGGCTGGTGCTCGTTGATCCCAGAATTTACAGATCTCCCGCCTTTAGATCGGGCCGGTACTGGGGCCAGTGGGCCAGTGGAACTGGAGCAAGTTAGAACAACAACGGGAAGCGATTAGGACCAAACTTCGTCCAGGGTGGGAGGGACCGGGCCCGTGAAGTGGGGCAGGCCTGGGCAGCCTACCGAGTTGTTGCCTCGGGCCCTTTCCAAGCACTGGCTTAGTCCTGGGGATAAAGTCCGACCGGTTTCCTTGTGAGCCTTTTCAGACTTTCGGTGATCTGGCCCGTCTGTCATTCATTCTTCATTCATTCATAGAATGAATGAATGAATACAGTACGGCTAATACTAGGTGGAGAAGTGATGGAGACAAACACTTTCCCACGGTACAGTTTTTTCCCATGGGCTGTAGAATGTAGAAGCCCGGGGCGGAGAACAGGGACGGCTTCCGAAACTAAATCGCAAACCCTAATCGGGAGTGGTGGGGAGAGTTCCAAAGAGAAGACAGCACGTGCCAAGGCCTGGAAGGGGGACAGAGGCTGACGCATCCTGGTCGCTGAACATACCTCACTCTGAATCTGTTTCGTGCCCCAGGAAGAGATGACGGTGGCCGGAGCTAGGCTACAAACACTGGAAATGGAGCTAAATCAAAGAATTCAAAGTACTATATTCTTAGGCCGCAACATCCATAGGATTTGGGGAAATTGAGATGCAGGAAAGAAGTACTCAAGGCTTGGGTGCCTGGGTGGGGCTCATCAGAGGAGAAGCAGATTTGTGGGAGACAACAACAAATTCTATTCTGGTTGTATGGAGACTCCTGGGAGCAATTGGATATTCTAGTTTGAAGGTAGGGAAGTATTGCAGTGAAGATGCAGATTTGAACGTCATCAGCAAAACAGAAATAAAGACAAGGAAGGATAGTCAGAGGGCGTTTCGCTCTTGTTGCCCAGGCTGGAGTGCAGTAGCTTGATCTTTGTTCACCACAACCTCCGCTTCCCCGGTTCAAGCTATTCTCCTCCTTTAGCCTCTAGAGTAGCTGGGATTATAGGCATGTGCCACCACACCTGGCTAAATTTTTTTTTTTTTTTGAGGTGGAGTCTTGCTCTGTAACCCAGGCCGGAGTGCAGTGCCACAATCTCAGCTCACTGCAACCTCTGTCTCCCGGGTCCCGGTTCAAGTAGTTCTCCTCCCTCAGCCTCCCAAGTAGCTGGGATTACAGGCACGAGCCACCATGCCCAGCTAATTTTTGTATTTTTTAGTAGAGACGGGGTTTCTTCGTGTTGGTTAGGCTGGTCTCGAACTCCAGACCTCAGGTGATCCACCCTCCTTGGCCTTCCAAAGTGCTGGGATTACAGATGTGAGCCACTGCGCTCGGCCTATGGTGATTATTTTTATGTCTTAACCTTCTCCATGTCCCTGGGACCTAGTCAGGGCCTGGCACTAGATGCAAATCAATGTTTACCAACTAAATAAAAGCCCAGCAGCAAACAGAGATGTTGGAATTCCAAAGTTGTGGAAAGATGGGGGCTGATGAAGGGTTTCATTGCTCTAATATCAAGGCAATGTGCTCTTGTCCTTGCTCTGCCACTGGGCTGCTGTGTGACCTCTGACAAGTCTCCTACCTGTAAAGTCAGTACAGCCAAAAAATGGTACCATGTATGGAGCTTCAAACACTGCTGAGAAATTTCACACAGATTTTTCTCTTTTAATCCACACAGTGTCTTCCAGGTCTAGATACTGTTTCTGATAAATTTAAAAAAAAAGAAAAAAAATCCACACAGTGATTTTTAAAAGGGAATTCGTATTATTATGGACTCAAACCCAGGTCTGTCTGACTTCAGCCTTGTTCTTTACTATGACTGCCCTCATCCATGTCCCACTAAACAGCAATATCATCAGGACCCTCTTGATGTCATGTGTGCATTCTTTAAAAGCATTGAGCTGAGGCTGGCAGACTTTCATAATTGGTCTAGCACTAGCTCTGTCATGGGGAGAGGGGGACAGAGCTGAATGTGATGGAGGTTTCCTATCATTCTCTCTCTTCCTGGGGACCACTGAGTTGGGCAGCCATGTTCTGTTAAATGACAATAGGGCAGAACAAAATTAATGACTGTGTTTCCAGATTTTTATTGAGGTCTTAAACTCTTGAGGCCTGCTTCAAAATGAATGAGTATCAGGCTGTGAGTTTGTACATATCTGTGTGTCTCTGGGCAACCAGTCAGACAACCCCTCCCATTACATTGGACACTTGGGTTTCAGCGATTTCCATCTTGCTAATGTGATTTCTCAAAAATATTTTCTGTCTTTTGGTGCTGTGATGATAAATGTCCATACATGGAATGTAATCATTTCCTGTTACTAGGTCTGCTTCTGGATAGTATAAGGGAGGAGTTCACTTCATTTGCATTTCATGGTATTCCACAAAGAGCTCCCTACCCCTTCCCATGTAATTTATTTGAGATCTGTTGACATGAGTTGTTGGAGCTTGAAGGGAAATTAATAATGTACAGCAGTGGCTCCTATCCCAAGAAAACTTGTTAAAAATACAAAGCCTTTGTCAGGCGTGGTGGCTCATGTCTGTAATCCCAACACTTTGGGAGGCAGAAGTGGGCAGGTCACCTGAGGCCAACAGTTTGAGATTGGCCTGGCCAACATGGTGAAATCTCGTCTCTACTAAAAATTCAAAAATTAGCTGGGTGTGCTGGTGTGCATCTTTAGTCCTAGCTACTCAGGGAGGCTGAGGCAGGAGAATCACTTGAACCCAGGAGGCAGAGGCCAAGATCCTGCCACTGCACTCCAGCCTGGGTGACAGAGGGAGACTCCACCTTAAAAAAAAAACAAAAATTCACAACAAACTGGTAAAAAAAAAACCCATAAAAATAGAAATAAATACATAAAAAAGATACAAAGCCTCAACCCATCCTTTCCCTCAGGCCTTTTGAAATCAGAATCTCTGGGTTGGGGCCCAGGAATCTGTATTCTTTCCCAAACTTTCCAGAATGTTCAGCCAGGTTTGGAAACTACTGATATACCCCATCCTTCTTGTTTCACAGTTAGGGAATCTGTAGCTCTGGGAGGGGGAGGAACTTGTTTCAGTCACATCTGCTATTAGCGCCTCTTTCTCCAATGAAGAGCATTGGGGTGGGAGTCCAGAGACGTGGGTTAAGTCCAGTCTACACCAGTCATCACCCGGGGCAAGTCATTTCACCTCTCCAAGCCTCTGCTTCCTTACTGTGAGAATAATGTCATTGTGTTAGGAATCACAAGAGAGTGGCAATGGAAATGCTTTGTCAAGCTTTCTGTTTTGTGCACGTGAAAGCTGTTAAAAGCTAGAACCAGCCAGCGTTCAGTCCTCTGTACCACACTGTTCCCTTCCAACAGAGGTCAGGGTCCCTCTGTGTTGGGGGTGACTGCCCGCCAGTTTCGGTGGTTGCAGGGCTGCAGGCCATCTGTCACCAAGCTCTCTTCTCTCCATCTTTTGCAGGTGTTGGGATGGCCACCAACTGGGGGAGCCTCTTGCAAGATGAGCAGCAGCTAGAGGAGCTGGCACGGCAGGCCGTGGACCGGGCCCTGGCTGAGGGAGTGTTGCTGAGGACCTCACAGGAGCCCACTTCCTCAGATGTAAGCCCCAGCTCCTCCCCACAGCATTCACTATTGCCCACTGTCTGGCCCTGGCCAGGCTGGGGGTCACTCCTTTGCATCAGGGACCACATCTCTTTAGCTTTATTTTTTTCAGTAACTAAAATTGATCTCTAGAAATACAAAGTAAAAAAGCAGCATGAAGGAGTTATCAAATTTAAATATGGTGTTTGAAGTGTGACTTTTTTTTTTGAGACGGAGTTTCACTGTTGTTACCCAGACTGGAGTGCAATGGCACGATCTTGGCTCACTGCAACCTCCGCCTCCTGGATTCAGGCAATTCTCTTGCCTCAGCCTCCCAAGTAGCTGGGATTACAGGCACACGCCACCATGCCCAGCTAATTTTTGTATTTTTAGTAGAGACGGGGTTTCACCATGTTGACCAGGATGATCTCGATCTCTTGACCTCGTGATCCATCCACCTCGGCCTCCCAAAGTGCTGGGATTATAGACGTGAGCCACCGTGCCCAGCCCTTGAAGTGTGACTTAGACAAGTTACTTAACCCTTCTCAGCTGCAGTTTCTTCAGATATAAAAATGGAACAATAATAGAAACAACCTTACTGGTTTGGTAAGAGAATTAGAGGATAATTCACGGAAAGCACTTTGCCCAGTGAGCTATTATTGAAGAACCCCATAATCAGAAAGACAAGACCGTACTTTCTCTGCAATTGTTTGTGATTATATACTTTCAAGTCTTTCTCTGTGCATTTATATACATAGGTATGTACATACAGAAATATGTCTTTTTAAAAAATCAAATTGGATCATATATATTATTCTATGATATGTTTTTGTTTTTTTCTTTAATAGTCTGTCTTAGAACTTTCCTTTTTTTTTTTTGAGATGGAGTTTCACCTTTGTTACCCAGGCTGGAGTGCAATGGCATGATCTTGGCTCACCACAACCTCTGCCTCCCAGGTTCAAGCGATTCTCCTGCCTCAGCCTCCCAAGTAGCTGGGATTACAGGCACCTGCCACCACCTGGCTAATTTTGAATTTTTAGTAGAAACAGGGTTTCTCCATGTTGCTCAGTTTGGTCTCAAACTCCTGACCTCAAGCCACCATGCCTGGCCTGTCTTAGAATTTCTAATGCCTTCCATCAGGGTCAGCTTTATTCTGAGGCATAGTATTCCAGATGTGGGTATATCACAGTTTAGCTTTCCTCTACTGATGTCTATTGAGGTGATTTCTAAGGTCTTTATGACCATAAACAGCACTCTCAGGAACATCCATGCGTATGTCTGTTGGGGTACCTGTGTGAGTGTTCTCCAGGGTCAACACACAAGTAGAACTGCCCAGTCCAAACCACATCTTTTTTAAATTTCATACTTGGGAAAAATGAATAAAAAGCTTTTTTTAATTTGGTGACTAGATAAGACATTTCATAGTTCAAATTCAAAGGGCACAAA